GCAACAAGCCTCGAAAACCCAGCAGTTCCAACGTTCATCAAAGATGTCTGGCTATCAGCAGAGCTGAGCCCGCTGCCTGGTCACAAGTACAAAGTACATGGTCGAACTGAGCGAGTTGCTTTCGAGAAATATGATAACGATGTACTTGTATGGGATGAGGAAACCGGAAATGCCAGAATCTCAGTCACTGGTATTCGTGCTACACCGCTTGACTCTGCCGACCAGCGAGCAGCAACCAGCAGAGAATTGTGCCACGAAGTCAAGTGGCCCGTTTACCTCGAGACCATCTCTCAAGCAGACTTGATTCCAGAGGAACGTCCCGTAGGATCGAACAGCCTGACAGCCGAATGGGTACATCGGTTGCAACTAGCCACCCTCTGCCTCGTCCACGACGCGCTGGACGAGTACCGCAAAGCCCCCAAGACCCTCCAAGGCCATCTCCAAAACTACTTCAACTGGCTAGAGCAACTGGAACACTGGACCAAAGAAGACAAAATCTCATCAGTCCCACGCTCCGACTTCGAAGCCATTCGTCACAACGACGCCGCCAAAACCAACATCTACACTCAGATCCAAGCCTACAAAGCCGAAGGCCGTCTGGCCTATCGCATGGGCTCAAACATCGTTTCCGTCTTGCGCGGCGAAACCGACCCTCTCCAGCTGATGTTCGGCCAAGACGACATCCTCGACCAAGTCTACGCTGACCTCGTGCGCCTCGGCGACCTCCCCGAGCTCCTATCCAAATACCTACACATCCTCGGTGAAAACCGTACTAATCTGCGCGTTCTCGAAGTCGGCGCTGGAACTGGATCGTCCACTGAAGCCGTGATCCGGAGCCTCGCACCGGTATCTGAAGACGGCCGGCTGCTGCAATCTAGCGTGCTGCAGTACACATATACAGATATCTCATCTGCATTTTTCGACAAGGCGCGCGAAAAGTTCAAAGCATGGCAGTCGATTTTTGAGTACAAAGTCCTGCATGCGGAGAAGGATGTTGAAAGTCAGGGCTTCCAGGCTGGAACTTATGACGTTGTTGTTGCGCAGAATGTTATTCATGCGACTGAGGATTTGCATTCTACGCTTTCGAACTTGAGGAAGCTGCTTAAGCCCGGTGGAAGGATTCTGATTCAGGAGGGTATGAGGCAGGACTACTTCTGGTCAGCGCTGGCTTTTGGGCAGTTGAGTGGATGGTGGCTTTCGAAAGAGGAGACGAGGAAGTGGAGTCCGTTTGCATCAAAGGATCAGTGGGCGACGATTTTGAGTGGAGCTGGCTTTTATGGCGTTGAGCTGGAGTTGAAGGACGCTCAGATTGATGTGTCGCATACACAGAGCATTCTTGTGTCGCGTGCTGTTGAGCAGAATGCGGCATTGGAAGCGCAAAAGGACAAGGTGGTTGTCATTGTTCCTGAATCATTGGACAAGGCTTTGATCTCAGGGTTGCAGCAGGAGTTAGAGAAGACACTTCAGAGTGGAAGTATCTCTATTGCCTCAATCCGCGAGCTGAAAGACCAAGATTTGAGCCAGACTCTATGCGTCTCACTCCTGGAGCTGGACACCCCTGTTCTCTTAACTCTGACATCAGAAGAGTACGAAGGCGTCCGAAAGGTACTAACCGAGTGCCACGCCCTTCTCTGGGTCACAGGCGACATGTTAGAAACCCCCGAAAACAGCATGGCCCTCGGTCTCATCCGCACCGTACGATGGGAACGAGACCTCGACGACGCAAACCTCGTCACCCTATCCATCGCAACCCCCCGCCCCGACACCGCCAATATCATCAAATGCATAAGCAATCTGATCACCCTCCAATTCACCAACCCCATCCCCAAAGAAGAAAAGCAAGGAGAATACCTCTTCAAAGATGGATCCTACTTCACCAGCCGCCTCCACTCAAGCACCACCGGAAACCACTTCCTCGCCTCCCAATTCAGCACCCCCCAGCCCATATCCACAGCCTGGAAAGACGCTGGAAGACCAGTCAAACTATCTTCTGCATCGCCCGGGCAGCTAGATCGTCTCCAATGGGTCACCGACCCCGTCTACACCACGCCCCTAGATCCCACACACGTCGAGATCGAAATCAAAGCCATGGGCCTCAACTTCCGCGACTTGATGATTGCAATGGGCGAACATATGGCCTACAGCATCGGGTGCGAAGCCGCGGGTGTCATTTCTCGCGTCGGCTCGCAAGTCACTGACGTTGCAGTCGGAGATCGTGTCACGTACATTACTGGACTGGACCATGTCGGTTGTTTCCACACGTTTGGGCGGGTGGACCAGTCGGTCGTGACGAAGATTCCTGATTCGCTGAGCTTCAGCGATGCGGCTGGACTGCCAGCTGTGTATGTTACGGTACTGTATGCGCTGAGAGACGTGGCGAGGTTGGCGAAGGGGGAGAAGGTGCTGATTCATGCTGCGGCGGGAGGTGTAGGACAGGCGGCAATTAATTATGCAAAGAGGGTTGGGGCAGAGATCTTTGCTACTTGTTCGACCCCTGAGAAGAGAGATGTGAGTTGTGATTTATCCGTATGGAGGGGATTGTTTATTGACTTGAGTTTAGGTGCTCGTGAAAAACTACGGTATCCCGGAAGATCACATTTTCTCGAGTCGAGACTTGAGTTTCGCGAAGGGAATTCGTCGAGTGACTGGCGGATATGGAGTGGATGTTGTACTCAATTCACTCGCTGGCGATGTACGTGCACCGCATACCGCAAACACTTCTTGATCATTTTGACTGACATACTTTCTCAGGCTTTGCGGTGCTCCTGGGAACTTCTCGCCCCCTTCGGACGCTTCATCGAAATTGGAAAGAAGGATATTCAAGCTAATTCTAGGATCGAACTGCGACCTCTTCTGCGAGGCACTTCCATGACTTGCGTAGACTTGGTTACAATGATGAAGTGTCGGCCACAGCTAGTCAAGCAGCTCACCGACGACACAGTACGCCTATGGAGCGAGGGCGTTGTCAAGACTGCAAAGCCAACAACCGTCTCCCCCCTTTCGAAGCTGGTTGAAGGCTTCCAGACTCTACAATCTGGTCGTGGAACTGGTAAGATGGTGTTCGTCCCACACGATGACGATATCGTCCCGATCGTGCCAGAGCAGCAAACCCCATTTTACTTCAAGCCAGACGCAACATACGTCCTGAGCGGTGGATTGGGAGGATTGGGACGAAGTATTGCAAGGTGGATGGTGAACAGGGGTGTTCGCAACCTATTGTTCCTATCACGTAGTGGCAAGATCACTCCAGCCGTCGCCGAGATGGAAAAGAATCTGGTCGAGCAAAAGTGTAGAGTCCGCATTGAAAAATGCGACGTCACGGATTCAGCCGATCTTGAGAGGGTTTTGAAGGACTGCGAGTCTTCTCTGCCACCAATCAAGGGTGTGATTCAGGGAGCTATGCAACTATCAGTAAGTCTATCACCAACTCACTACTACAGTAAGAAAGAACTCAACTAACTCTCATATCCAGGACTCCATCTTCGAAAACATGACCTACGAACAATACATATCCGCCGTAAACCCCAAAGTCCTCGGCTCCTGGAACCTCCACAAGCACCTCCCAAAGGACCTCGACCACTTCGTCCTCCTCTCCTCCGCGACCGGCATACTCGGTAACCGAGGCCAGGCCAACTACGCCGCAGGAAACACCTACCAAGACGCCCTCGCAGCATACCGCCGCTCGCAAGGTCTCGCAGCCTCCACCATCGACGTCGGCGCCATCCTCTCCGTCGGCTACGTCGCAGAGAACTCCTCGCGCGTCGCCATCAACAAAGGCGTAAGCGTCGAACTCGAGCAAATCCGCGAAGAAGAACTACACGCGATTCTCGAATACAGCATCGATCCGCGCCAGAATCCTCCTGCGCAGATTGTTACTGGTCTGGCTAACAGAGATAAATACCGGCACAAGGGAATGCCGGCGCCGTCATTCATGAGTTTCCCACTGTTTGCGCATCTAAACAGTGAGACGTTGACTGGCGCTGCATCATCTGAGAGCACTGAGATTCCTGTCGAAGCTTTGCTTGCTCAGTCAAAGACATTGGATGAGGCAGCTGATATCATTACAACGGCGGTGAAGGGCAAGCTGGCGAGTTTGTTGTCGGTAGCAGCGGCGGATATCGATGAGGACAAGTCGATAAGCGCAAACGGTATTGATTCGCTAGTGGCTATAGAGTTCAGGACGTTCCTTGCAAGGGAAGTCAAGGCGGATGTACCCATGTTGGATGTTATGGGGACTTCGACGATCAAGGTGTTGTGCAGGAAGATTGCTACGTTGAGTCGCGCGGTGGATGTCAAGCAAGATGAAAAGGCTAGCGAATAGTGTTACAGACCAATTGTTGGATTTTGAGTCAGTTTCAGTATAAACTCCTACCCAAACGTTGTAGCAGTCAATAGAAGTTCCAATCGTATTTCATATCCAAATGATAATACCAACATCCTTTTCGTTACAGTGATTGTTACATTACGGGCAGATAGGTGTTAGTCAACTTGGTGTAGGTTAGCTTACGTAGGATGAGCTATACTGAATCATGTCTGCTCATGATTAGAAAATTTTGTGACGTCAAATTGGACAAAGCACTCATTGCGGTTTGATCGTTTACAGAAGTGTCACAATACAAATCGGATATCGAACACACTGGCCCACGGTGACCCATGTGCGCATGCGAAAGCAATTGGTGAAGTTCCTAGGAAAAGCCTGAAGGTTAGTATTTACTTCGAGAACAATAACACACGTCACGAGCGGAAAACAACGAGCAAAAGATGACCACACAATGGTTATGCGGAACATTCACCCTAGTGAAGCCTCCATTGTATACGTGGTCGTAGACCCGCTCATAAGAGACAAGGGCCAAGCTCCATTGATAGGCCGCAAGTTCAATGCTTGCTCTTTTTGTAAGATACATTCCAGGACTCCGTTGGACCGAACCCCCGAGACCGAAAATGCTGGTTATCGTGCAGAATCTTCACTTCGTTCCCTCTTCACCTCCCCGTCGATACGTTTATCGAACAATTCCCTCGAATCGGTTCTTGTACCACTTGATGGTCTCGGCCTGGTTGACGCGGTGGGATGGGCCGATCTTGCTCTTGCACCTCCTGCGCTTGGCGACACGCTCACCGGGGCGGGTCATGCAGACGTAGAAGTCCATACCGTAGATACTGCTCCAGTCAGTCATTGCCTCTCTTGCCTTCATTTTCCATGTTCCACATACCCGATGCTAGGGTCGTACTTGATACCCAAGTCGATGTGCTCGCTGATACCGAAACCGAAGTTGCCGGACTCTGAGAAGTTGCGCTTGCGGAGCTCGTACTCCTTGACCTTGAGACCACGCTCGAGGATCTCCTCGGCCTTGGGGCCACGGACGGTAACGTGGACGGCAATCTTTTCGTTCCTTCGGATACCGAAAGTACGGACGGTATAGCGGGCCTTGGAGTAGACGGGAGTTTGACCGGACAGCTGCTCGAGCACCTTGGCGGCACGAGTGAGACGATCACCAGACTCGCCAACGGAGATGTTGAGGACGAGCTTCTGGATGCGGAGCTCCCGCATGGGGTTGGAGGCCTTGGAGTCGGACTGTCATTGCTGTTAGCATGCGCGATGAAAACTATCGTCTATATTTGCTGCGTACCATTGTGATTGACTGCGGAGGTTAGTAGGCGTGGGTGGCTGTCGAAGTCGCTGGAGTGGAATTCGCGATCACGAAATCCATTTGGCCTGTGGAGGGCGCGAATTAAGCGAGACTAGGCTGGTCACGTGCCAGCATGTCAGAGCTCCGAACATGAACTTTGTCTTGCGAACACCAACAGCTCCAGACGCCCCGCCGATCGCCAACTACACGGGGATCGCACCTCAATAACCCCATATACCTCTTTTTCGAGCTTTCAAGTCGTCTCCGGACGCGCAAAACACATCATGTCGGGCGCTGCAAACCGTCAAGGAAAGATGGTAAGTAAATCTGCCTAGCAGCTCGAGGCCTTGACCTGAGAGAAAGACGCGCATAGAAACTAACTGACGCTCGATGATATAGCAAAATCTAGTAAGCGTCCCAGATTTCCGCTCACAATCGCACCCAACTTACAAGGCTAGATCAACTACCGCATGAAGGTAACGCTTCAAGATGGTAGGCAAATGGTCGGGCAGATGCTCGCATTCGACAAGGTCAGTGTCGCATTCTCTCTTTGGAAGGACTGAATTAACGCGCTGTTTGTAGCACATGAACCTTGTACTCGCCGACACAGAAGAATTCCGCCGCACACGGAGAAAGGGCAAAGCCGCACCGGGCGCAACCCAGCAAGTCACCGAAACCGAAGAACGACGCGCCATTGGACTTACCATTATCCGTGGTGCTCATGTCATTTCACTGTCAGTTGATGGGCCACCGCCTGCGGACCCCGCTGCGCGTCTCGGAGCAAACTCTGGACCTTCGACTACTGCGGCATTGGCTGCTGGACCTGGTGTCGCTCGACCTGCTGGACGTGGTCTCCCTGTTGGTCTGACTGGACCAGCTCCCGGCGTTGGAGCTCCTGGCCCTGGATTTGGAGGTGGTTTCCCAGGCGCACCTGGAGGTTTTGGAGGGCCACCTGGCTTCCCAGGCCGTGGTGGACCACCCAGTGGACCACGTACGTCGCTCAAATACATTTGAGTAATGTATGCTAACTCTTGACAGCTGGCTTCCCTCCCGCCGGTGGACCTCCTGGCTTTGGCGGACCCCCAGGATTCGGTGGACCGCCAGGTTTCCCTGGTCGTGGCGGACCTCCTGGCTTTGGTGGCCGATAGACGGACAACAACGCGCAGTTATGAAGGAAAATTACGAGAAGAAACAAGCGTCGGAATTGGCGAGTTACAAATACAACGCGTGGCCATGTTGCGGATGTCAGGGAGCGTATCGGGAGACTGAGGAGATCAAAGTCCAGCAGACCGTAGACGTTGCAAGTGCTCCAAGGTTTTGGCTATGCTTGAAAACCGCAGATGACACTGACAAGGCGAGCGTACCTAAATCATAAGTGTACGAAAGATTGGTTGGAGGAGTTTAGGATATACCATTGGCCTACAGGCCACAATAAGAACCAGTCGCAGCAATTCAAGATTTGGACTGTCACACTTTCTGTCTGCACCCAATCCAATGGCCAATTACTAGCTACTATATCACCTTGCACGTGATGTCCTTCCCGTACGTAATCATGCACTGCCGGTTCGCGGTTGCGGTGCGCCATCTATTCCCGCCCCGGCCCCATCAAAAAAGCCTTGGCAAGCCAGCCCTGTCCCCGTTCCGAGCCCATCTCGCAAACTCCGAACCACGAGCTTTACTTTTGCCTACGTCCCCTTCCGCTCTCCGCCGTCGCATACAACCCTCTGGTCTCAGGAAAGAAAAACCCGACCAAAGAAACCGTCGCAACCATGGCCGCCGCAATCAAAGCCCTCAACGCGAAGATTCGCTCAAACAAGTACACGGATTACTTTTGCTCGACTCGTACGTTTTTAGAACCCCGGTTTTCGGAGAGGGCACGCGCACACTCGCACTCGGCTGCGTCTCCGACGCAGATTGAAGACAGGAGGAATAAGGAAATAATAGGAGAATTGGGAATTTGCGAGGAGAAACATTGCTGACGGTTGATATCCTACAAAACAGACTTCTGGGGCCCCGCGAGTAACTTTGGTATCCCGATTGCGGCCATTGCGGATATGAGTAAGGATCCTGAAATGTATGTTTCCTTCCTCCTTCCTCCCCCTCCTCCCCCTCCTCTCTCTCACCTATCTAACACTTCATGCGAAATAGTATCTCGGGCCGCATGACCGGCGCCCTAACTCTCTACTCTGCCACCTTTATGCGCTACGCCATGGCGGTTACACCTGCCAATTACCTGCTCTTCGGGTGCCACGCGATCAACTTCACCTCGCAGGTTGTGCAGGGATACCGATATCTGAACTACTGGAACTTTGGTGGTAGGGAGGCGACGTTGAAGGGCAAGGCGGAGCAGGTGGGCGAGACGGTTAAGAGTGCGGTGTCGAAATAAGGTATTTTGGACCGCGGGAGAGAAAGAAAGGGTGGGAGAAATCTTGATATTTGAGGGTTAGGTGGGGGGAGATGAAGGATAAGAGATGAAATGAACATGATATCATGCATGCATTCTTACTACTAGTTCTGAAGTGTGTTTTACTCCACGCAGGTCGAGATACGTACTTGTGACGAAAAAAAGAATTCTTGATTCGAATTACAAACATGATAGACGGACATTAGGCCAGTGCTTTTTTAAACTGGGGATATACATATATCGACACACACAAAAACCTCTCCAACTAACATTACTATTCCTTCCCTCCCTTTTCCTTCCAACAAGCTCCCAAAAAAAAGAAGATCTCACATCAAACTACTCCTCCCCCCAATCTCCGTTCCTCCCTGTCCATTCGGCAAATTGCCATCCCTTCCGTCCACGAACTCCGTGTATATCCTCTTGAGGCGCATTCGCTCTTGAGCCGAGATACTGCTTCTACCAGACACCAATGAGGATTCAATGTGAGACCATTGGATCTGAGGGTCTTTCCGATCGGTAGATGCATCCTCTGTTTTGGTGTCTGCAAGGCCGTTAGGGGAAGAGGAGGAATCCTTGGGGTCAAGGAGACCGCTAACAGAACGTTGGAGTTGTTTCTGCTTTTTACGGAGAGACTGGAGGGAAGAAATTTTCTGGGCGATGAGGGCGCGCTCGGAGATGTGGTGCGAGGTGCGCAGTGCGGAATCGGCGGGTGTGTTGCTTTCGTCGTCGCCGTAGCGGAAGTAGGAAAAGTCGGGGATACCCTTTGTATCTTTTGTGCCGGTGTTTTTGTTGCCGGCGGCGTCGAGTTTGGAAGGGTCGATGTCGCCGAGGGCGTCGTGAATGGCTTCTAGCTGGGCGTTGTAGACGACGGCTTGGAGGTCGGCGCCGGAGTAGCCTTCTGTTCTGGAGGCGATTTCGCGGAGATTCTGGCCGGATGTATCGGCTGAGAGGATGCTGGGTGCGAGGTGCAGTTTTGCGGTTACAGCGCGTAGGATGTCGATGCGCTCTTCTTCGTCGGGCATGTCACAGAGGAGGGATTTGTCCAGACGACCGGGACGGAGGAGCGCAGGATCGATGAGATCAGGGCGCGAGGTAGCGGCCAAGACGTAGACGCCTGAAAGACCTTCCGCACCATCCATCTGGGTGAGGAGCTGGTTGACGACACGATCTGTTACGCCGGTGGAATCATGGCCACGCTTTGGCGCGATCGAGTCGAACTCATCAAAGAACAAGACGCAAGGCCGTGCTGCTTCTGCTCGCTCAAATAGATCACGTACAGACTTTTCAGACGCTCCAATATACTTGTTGAGGATCTCAGGACCCTTGACTGAAATGAAGTTGAGACCACATTCACCTGCTACAGCAGAGGCGAGCAGTGTTTTGCCGCATCCGGGATAGCCGTAAAGAAGCAGACCTGAGCGGAGACGTAGTGGGCATTTTGCGAAGATTGGGGCGTACGTGGTGGGGTATTGTAATGTCTCCAAGAGAACCTGTCGTGTGTTATGCAAACCACCTATTGAATCCCATTTGGTGGTACTAGACTGTAATGTGACGTTCCTCAACGAGGCGGGTGTAAAGCCTGAGAGGGCTTTGGTATAGTCTTCTCGCGTAAGAGTCACAGTAGGAGATGTTGATGTGATAGAGCGGATGAGTGCTTCGTTCCGCGCACGCGAAGTCAGCAGAACAAGATCGCCAGGCATGTAACCATCTGTCTGTCCCGCAAGATCGAGAAAGTCAATGGAAGAATCGACTGTGAAGCCGTATTCGTCAGAAGGCGGTTTTTGTATGCTGTCAACGCTGGCATTGCTGCGGTGTGAAGTACTTGGTCGACTATTTGATGGAGAGGGTGGGAAGGCATGGCCGTTAGCTTGCTCGGTTGGCTCTGTTTTGGCATCCTTGAAAGCTAGCATCTCAATGACCTTTCTCCTGCCATCTTTGTTGGGTGCTTTTAGACTGACGATTTCGCGAACAATGTGACCTCCAATGATGACGTTGTTGAGAGCTTCTTTGCCCTGTGCTGTTGCTAGCAGCACTACTCCAGAGTCCATGGAGCAATACTGTCGAACGATATTGATCAAGCACTCGCTGACCTGCCGGCTTCGGCCGTTCTCATTGCCAACCTGAAGCTCGGTTTCGACAGGACATAGCTTGTCAAGGTCATCCAGAATGACTACGGCATTTCCGCCACCCCGTGCACCCCACGAAGCCGTGGCAAACAACCGATTGAGTGTTTCTTTGATAGTCGCAACACGCGTCTCATCCGTCACCAGCTTGCGACAGGGAAAGTATGTGGTATTGAACAAGTACTCGGTCCGAAGCTGGTGCGCAAGGAGCTGAGCGCATTCTGATTTTCCAGCACCGAGACCTCCAGTAAGGAGCACTGATGAATTGTGCGTCAGATGCGATCTTAGTTGTGCAATCAGAGGGTCAATTCCAACAAGGTGAGCAGGAGTTTCGGGTAATGGATCACCCTGCTGCCATCCCTTGGCCCAACTCGACGGTACCGACACCTCTGGACCCAGTTCAAGTGGTGGTTTCCTCTCAGGAAAGAGGACCCATGATACACCACTGGTTGTCGAGGGAGGTTCGAATTTTACAATACCTCCTTGCCAACCAATATCAGAATCCTTGGTTGGTGGTAGTATCATGCCATCTGTAACTGGCCCGTCCAGAATCCCGTTCTTTTTTCCATATGATGCTCTGATCTTCTGTATAGCATTCTCTTGATCCTGCTTTGACTCTCCACCAAATTTCAGCGATGCGTTGCTGAGTGATGCTACTGTGGCGAAAGGTGCAATCTTGATTGATTTCACAGTTGGCTCCCTGGACTCTTTGGTACCCTGTGGCTTGATGGCAGGTGGCTTGGGGGTTTGGGCAGGTGCACCTTCGATACGAACCAATCCGCCAACAAACTTCTCACAACCCAGAACCTTGCACAGGTCGACCGAAAGCGCCACATGACGGCTGTCAGGCGCATCTTCCCATGGGACGATTTTGGCTACTACACGAGTCGCAGCTTTCTCCTGTTCTTGCTCCTTGGACATGTCGACGGGCTCTTGTAGGCCTGCAGGCTTGATAACTGATACAGAGACCCAAGTAGTCCCCCTGAGTGCCTTTGTGAGGAGTACCTCGGGATCAACCCAGACCTTCAGTCCCTCTGCGTCAGCATCGTCTTCGTCGTCGAACCACTCCTGGGCAACGCTTCGGTCAAGACCGCGTAGGAAGACAACGCCCTTTGTTGCAGCATCCTCACGACCGCTGCGACGCCGGACTGTGCTCGCAGTACTTTTTCCGCTCTTTCTTGAAGCAGCGCCCACGCTCCGGCTCTCCCGAGTCGAGCTCCTCTCCTTTTGTCGTGTCTTGGGCGCAACGATGACTTCTGCGTCGGGCGAGATTTTTACAAAGAGCGATGTGTTCTGCGGCGCAGGGGCAATGGAGGTGACAGTGATATTTGCGGTGGTAGTAGGGGACAGATGGAGGGTCAGGGGGTGCGGCGACTGAGCTTGTGGGTTAGGCAGTGCGCGTATCTGTGAGAGGAAGTTTAGTTCGAGAAATTGGGCATGCAGCTCGATCATTTCCCAGTCGACAGGGGTCAATGGCTCGATGTTGATGGTGTGGGCTTGGGGAGGATCGAGGTGCAGTATGATGCCGACTTTCTGACCTTGCTGAAGACCGATCAGTCGCGCAAATGTAGCATCCACTTCGACTGCCGGAAGGTCTTGTTGGCTGACTGCTGGGCTGCCCCTCAGGCCGTCTTTGCCGACGACGGGCGCAATCTTGCGCTTGCTCTGCATGCCCGTCCATCCCAGAAAGACGGACTTTGGAGCGGCATTCTTGTTGTCGGTAGCGCCGGGAGGGGGAGGCTGGCGGTAGGAGAGCTCGACAACGACATTCTGGGCGACCTGGACAGAGAGTAAGCAACCGGGTGTTGAGTGTAGCTCATGGCGCGTACCGTGTTTGCGTTGACAAGCACCGACACCAGCGACGACGGTAAGTTGACAAGGCAGTTCTTGAGCGACTGGTGCAAGACAACCTCCGCCTGGACGACGTTGCCGGCGGGCTTTTTGGGCGGCATGGCTAGGGTAGGGAGCGTGAATGGAGAATGGAGAGAACAGAATGACGGCTGCTACTCCCAAGCCCAAGCGCATCACTCTCTCTCTCCCCAGCGAGCCGAGGTCGTCGGCGGCCATGGGCCCAGGGCGGTGGCAGCCGGCAGAACCGACGGGATGCGGGCCCTTGTCGACGCGGGTGGACGCGCCCCAACCCAGCAACGCGCCCAGCCCAGCCCCGATTTTGCCATTCCCTCCCCGCTGCAATTGTCTCCGAGATATCACCAATAACACCAGACCAACGGCCGACTTTTTTTATATTCCGGCCGCCACCTCTCAATCTCGTCCCCCATGGCGCTGCTCACTACGAGTGCGCCCGTCAACTACAATGAGCAGGAAGGTGTGTATATACATACGCGTACACAACACCTGGCCGCCCTTTGCTAACACCGCATAGCTGCCTTTGTTGATTTCCTCAAAAACTACAAGTCCACCTCGACCGAGGCAGCGGACCAGCTCGAGAGCCTCAACCTGAACGGCAATGGCACCGAGGATGACGACGACATGGTCGACGACGAGGATAGCGGCCCCGCAGCCCAGGCGCGCAACAAGTCCAAGTTGAAGTACATGGACCAGCTTCAAGAGGTTGCCAATCGCATGCGCGACGAGATCCAAATAGACCTCAACGACGTCGAGGCGGTGAGTGACCACGACCAGCTACCGACACCCCGCAACTGATTCATAGTCGCCAGTACGAGAAAGCTTTAGACGACGAGCAAAACCTTAGGCTGGTCGAGTCCATCGAGCGGAATGCCCACCACTACATTGAGATCTTTTCGCGCGCCGTGGACAAGTGCCTTCCAGAGCCCACTAGAGAGCTGAGGTATGGCACTACGTGAAATCTGCCAGCACCAGCACTTACTGTATACAGCTTCAAGGACGATGTGCTGGACGTGATCATGACACAGCGCTCCAAGCGCAATGAAAGGATGCAAGAGCTACAGGGCGTCGACGATGCCGAGCAGGCCGCTCCCGAGTCAATATTTCCCCCAGCCCTGACGCGACGCTACACGCTCAATTTCAAGCCCAGAGTACCATCTGGCTCCAGCAGCCAGCGCAGTCTCAAAGCACTTGCCGTCCGGAACGTCCGCGGAGAGCACCTCGGCCACCTCATCACAGTCCGCGGTATTGCAACAAGGGTCTCGGACGTTAAGCCTGCAGTGCTTGTCAACGCCTACTCTTGCGACCGCTGTGGTAGTGAAGTTTTCCAACCGGTGACGACCAAGCAGTTCACTCCGCTTGTAGAATGCCCTTCAGAAGAGTGCAAGAGCAATAAGACCAAGGGCCAGCTGTTTCTGTCTACCCGCGCTTCAAAATTCCTCCCATTCCAGGAAGTCAAGATTCAGGAAATGGCCGATCAGGTGCCAGTCGGCCACATCCCAAGACAGCTAACCATTCACTGCCACGGCGCTCTGGTCCGCCAGATTAACCCTGGCGACGTCATTGACTGCACTGGAATTTTCCTCCCAACGCCTTACACTGGCTTCAAGGCAATTCGCGCTGGTCTTCTTACCGATACCTATCTCGAGGCCCAGTACGTCTTGCAGCACAAGAAGGCCTACGACGACATTGTGCTTGCCCAACCAACTCTGCGAAGAATGAATGAGCTCGAGAGGACCGGCCAGCTGTACGAGTACCTGTCGCGATCCATTGCACCTGAAATCTTTGGCCATGTCGATGTCAAGAAAGCACTTCTGCTCCAGCTCATTGGCGGTGTCACAAAGGAGGTGGGAGATGGTATGCGCATCCGTGGTGATATCAATGTCTGCCTGATGGGTGATCCTGGTGTGGCCAAATCCCAATTGCTCAAGTACATTACGAAGGTTGCGCCTCGCGGTGTCTACACGACTGGTCGCGGTAGCAGTGGCGTTGGTCTGACTGCAGCCGTCATGCGCGATCCAGTAACGGACGAAATGGTTCTCGAGGGAGGTGCCCTTGTACTTGCCGACAATGGAATGTGCTGCATTGATGAATTTGATAAGATGGACGACAGCGACCGAACAGCAATCCACGAAGTCATGGAGCAGCAGACAATCTCCATCAGTAAAGCCGGTATCACCACCACGCTCAACGCCCGCACATCGATTCTCGCAGCCGCTAATCCACTGTACGGTCGCTACAACCCCCGCTTGTCGCCCATTGAGAACATCAACCTCCCCGCCGCTCTTCTGTCCCGTTTCGACGTTCTGTTCCTCATTCTTGATACCCCTACGCGTGACTCGGACGAAGAGCTTGCCCGCCACGTTACGCATGTCCACATGCACAACGCCCATCCCGAAGCCCCAGGAGGCATCGTCTTCAGCCCTGCGGAAGTTCGACAGTGGGTTGCCCGTGCCAGGTCCTATCGACCAACTGTACCCAAGGAGGTTGCCGACTACATGGTTGGCGCCTATGTGCGCATGCGTCAACAACAAAAGCGCGATGATGGCAATAAGAAGGCCTTCACGCACACGTCGCCACGTACGCTCTTGGGTGTGCTTCGCCTGGCCCAGGCTCTGGCTCGTCTACGATTTGCTGATGAGGTCATCTCGGAAGACGTCGACGAGGCCCTCCGCCTTACAGAGGTCAGCAAGGCCAGTCTTTACGCCGACGAGAACCGCAGGGATGATCATACCCCCAGCAGCAAAATCTACCACCTCATCAAGTCCATGGAGGCGAGCGGTGCTGCAGCCGTTGGCGATGGTACCAGGGGTGAACTTGACCTCCGCAGAGTTAGGGAAAGAGTTCTGGCCAAGGGCTTCACGGCCGATCAATTCGAGTCGGCTATTGACGAATACGCTATGCTTGATGTAAGTAGTCAGCAGAAAGACGTAGCTAATTGCTCGCTAACACTAATCGACAGGTCTGGCAAACGACTGGAGAAGGAACACGACTTGTTTTCATCGAGGCTGGTATGGAAGATGAGGACATGGATGCCGACAATGACTTCTAGATTACGCATGAGAAGGAGCAAGAATAGCAGTGCGATTGGGACATGGCGTATGAAGGCGTTGGATATCCAAGCGGCGCTTAGGACGTTACTATTGTATTTGCAGCCGCATATATGGCTGTGTGTAGCTTACAATGAAGCAATTCCATCACCACGCCTACGCTGGACGCCTTGGGATAAATATCGCGTGACATAGGTATGCGGTCACATGCCAAGGCACGTATCTGCAGATGAGCATCATAGCGGCATGAACTATCGCGGGGTCTTTAGCGAACTGCGAGAACGAACTTCGCAAACCGACGAGACAATCACCGCTTCAACGCCGATTCGGGCCTCGCTTTTGATACTAGCCAAGTGAAGGACTTTTTTCCAAGCCGTGTTCCCGGCATTACCTTCTAAAATAGGCTTACCTCCAACGACGATTCTTGCGCCTCGCGGTTAGCAAACGAGCACGATAAGCCTGCGCCAGCTTCCACTTGGCCTCTATCCACCCTCAAAGACCCTTGATTGCACATGCCCTAGATTCCGCATCCCATTCCACATCGCAGTCATGGCAGTCGGCGCAGCAAACAACTTTGCGCAATTCATGGTAGTTGGACGTATGTAGGCCCTTCAATTCCGCTTCAGCCTAAGCCTCGGGCATCCAGCACAAAGTACATTCTAATCAGCGCACAGCGACATGTTTTTTCCTCGGCATCCTCTTCGCACAACTCCCCTACGACTACAATGTCCTGTGGACGACGCCCGAGGACCGCGCGTCCTATTTTGACATTCTCGAGTCACACATCAAGTTTCTCTATGCCTCGCCCGCGATCGTCTCGCGCATCCTCAATCTCGTCATCGGCACCGGCCTCCTCGGCTTCCTGATCAAGCTCTTCAAGCCCAACCAAGCCAACATGCTCTTTGACGGCGCATCCCTCGTCCTGTACATGGCTGGCATCACCGTCTACCTGACCAACATTGTCAAGGGCTTCCGCGTCGTCACGGCTGGTATCTACGGCGAGATGGACAAGGCTAACCCGGGCGAGATTACCGAAGAGGACATGGGCGACTACATCTCGAGGGAAGACACACTAAGGGTCTTTGCAGCTAGCAATACTATTCTTGCGCTTGTCCTCGTGGGCGTCTTGGTCCTGCAGGCGGGTCAGTGGTATGCCAAGAGGGCCGAGGAGCAGGAGATTCAAGAAATGGAGCGTCTGGCTGAAGAGAAGAAGGGAGCGGGGAAGAAGAAGCAGTGAGTGCGCGCTTTATTTCTCTTCGGGTCAAAAGGAAAGCTATGTGAGCCGAGTTAGGACGTCTGGATAGACTCGTCTTACAAATTCATATGCTTTGCGCCTCAAACGAAACCATTGAGGGTTCATGTAAGGTTGGGTGTTCGGTGTTCCTTCACCTAAGAAACTGTATGCTACCTAGGTGTAGGAAGGATCGAGAAGAGCACATATGTATGCATCTCCTTTCGAGCTATATATGTAGTGTTGAATCTTCACATTCCACTTTTCACCGTATCATCACTCGTTCATGAAGCTAGTTCAATGCCTTCGTTTATCAAACTCACTACAGGAAAATTGACTATCACACAATCGTCACACCGGTTAATGCCCGTCGGACACATCGGTCTCACCACAAATGCTTCTTGCGACTAATGCTAGGGGTCGTCTGTGCCTTCCTCATGGTGGTTCCAGGTTGTTTGCCCATGTTGTCACTGGACAACCAACCCCTTCCCACGTCCTCTACACTATCACTTCTCACCAACCAAAAATATACGTGTTTTCCATTCTGAACCAACCCATCTATCTCTTTTCATCTCGCCGGATCATAACAATGACGACCAGCCTGCTTCGCCGCCAATTAGAAGAGATCAGAAATACACTTGTCAAAGCGAGTGATCAGCGGGAGGCAGAGTTGCGAAACCGAGAGCGACTGGTAGTGGGACGGGTGACCACAGGCAAGAGTGAAGGGTGAGGAAGCACTGAAAGGGAGGAGAGTGGCAATCCTGATTTGAATAACGAGGACAGCCTCCGTGCTACCAACCAGGAGGTGACGGCCATCCGCGGAGACACCGACCGAGCGTATTCGACTATGACTCGCTTAGGCACCGCCCATACTGAGACTTGCGATCTTGTTGAACTGGAAGCTATGCTCTTAGAAATCAAGGGGAGCACGTCAGAGCCAAGGCTGGAACTATCCAGGGATATTGATGGCGACTTTGAGCTCGCCCGCGGGGGATCGGACACCCCATACCCGCCTTTCCATTCACTAGCTTGCCAATCCACACCGCTTACTAGGTGTACGGGGCCCGCGGTTCCTTTCGGTACGAACCCAAAGAGTCGCCTCTGCATCGATTCAGCTGGCTCGCTTAGTCCGGAGATCGTTCCGTATGCCGTGGCGCTCATGCTCGAGGCGTCTAGTTGCAGGTGGGAACACGTCAAAAGATGGAGCACGTACTTGTTTAGTAGCAACACAGATGAATTCCATGGGAAGCGGGGAGTGGAGAACATGATTCGGAACGAGAACGAACAGCTCATTGGCACCGGTAGTTACGTCGAAGATGAGGAGGACAAGAAACGCCAACTTGCTCGTCGTCTCATTCTCTCCAATCTAGCTGCGGATGTAGATAAGAAATCCATCTTGGTTTTCCTTGCGAAGTACCGATCGAATATGTACATTTGTCAATATGCCAGCTCAACCCGGCTAGGTACTAATATGGATGTCAATAGTCGCAGGGTTACCCTCCTTCCGGAACGCGATCCGGTCAAGGGAACGAGGAGTGTACATATTGACATGGACTCAAGGAGAGCTGCAGTGTATGCTTCGTTCCAACATGGACACGTTTTTGGCCTAATGGTCAAGATTAAGCTGGCAGTGGAATAAGGAGGTGCAACGGATTGTTCATCTGCACAAAAGGTGCGGTTGTTCCATGAGAGGGTACCATGGCCGGTATAGATGCTATTGGAGGACATTGCAGTCGTGCAGTACTAAAGCGGCATACTAGGATACACGACAACGGTGGAAGAAATGTCGTATACAAGAAAGGGCAGTCGCCTGGCGACTGTATCCACCCTCCTTTTCCGAACACACCAAAGTTGACAGACACACATGAAACGTGACAAAGTCCATGCTTTCTTCAAATTTCTTGCGTTTCATGTCGCAAATATGCACGTAATCTTATGCAGAATCGATCGCAGACAAGTGAGGACTAAGAATCGATCCAAAAAGACCGCGCGACTTACGGATCTGCAAGGGGCCCCGCTCTTCCACTGTTCCCGAGACGATGAGCATGTGGGGAATACCGACACTATTGATGCACAGTACCTGTACAATACAAGGGTACTTTGCGCCCGATCGGTAAGTGGTGTGCATTAAAGGTGCGTATCGCGCGTGTTTCGACCTGTCTTGTTCATCATGTTTTGACCCCCGGTTTACGTTTTGATGGTTTCGTGTGTAAGGGGTACGTACTACGGAATGTGGAGTGTGATAGCTAATGACAACCTCATTGACAGAAACGACGGAACCATCAGAAGCCGTATTCTTGGTCCGTGTAATTATTCCCTCGTCTAGTGTGTGGAGGCGACACGTGCTCCCCATACGCATGGATCACACCGAAATATTCCCGGTGCCACCACGCGACCCCTTATAGCAAGGTGATGAGATGAACGGTCAGCGAACGGGACGGGAGGACAGGACGGCGATCTGCACGAATCACCATCGCCACGATAGTCGAGCACCCTTAACCATTTAATATCGTTCAATTGGTCCGTCAACCTGGACCTGATAAAGATACGGGTGACGCTTCCTAGTGTGTCCATTGGTCGCTACTGAGTCTTCGTCTACAAACGCTGTACGTCCATGTTCGCACGGAACTCTCCGAGATGCCCCTTCAGGTAAGTCTCACTTTAGTTCTCAAAGACGATTCATCTGAACCATCAGAATGGCCTGACAGATGTTAGCCGTGCATTACCAAGTCTTGCCAGCTGACTCTTTGAGGCCTGGTGGTTCTTGGTCTTGGGGCATCTGCCACCATGGGCTGATGTTTTGCCATTGCGACTCCTCATCCGTCGCCTGGCCACCGAGCGTTTTTGCCATTGCATCGGTGCCCAATACTACGGCCCGCATGATGCTTGCGCGTCGGCATGTCCAGTCTCTAGCTAAGGCAACTAGTGTAATTTACAGCTGAACCAGGCTTAGATAGATAGCTGCTTCAAGCCAGAAGCGAGTGTGATGGCGACTTGCATGTACGATTCCATGTGCACCCTGTAGCGCTTTGACATGGATGCTACGCTTCCCCGGGCAAGTGTAGGGGACATCGTTGTCGGCCGCGACTCATCGATTAACTTTCAAGTGGCGTCTCACACTTAATTAGCAACATCCCAAAATTTGTACGACGCCCAATGAACCGGACTATCCCCACCCCGCATAACAACAGCACACCGTGTCGTTCTAGAAGAAAAAGTGCTTGAGTTGCTCCCTGGTCTCCTTTGAAGCTTTACTTAACACTCTGGAAAGTCTTACACATGGACCCCCATTACCCCATTTGAACACGGATGAAGATCACTTGTGCTGTCGCACACTAATCGAGCTCAACATGAATGGTTTTCCGCCGCCGCCGAACCTCGACCCGAAACTGGCAAAAGAGTCTCTCGTATGCGATCAACTGCCTACTATTTAGAACAAACTTGTTGACACTTTGCAGGCTCCTGCCGGTCTCGCCGTCACTATTGTCTTCACAGTAGCTTCGTGCACCACAGTCGCCCTTCGACTGTACACACGGTAAGGACTGCCCGGAAACTCGGCGTATCATGGCCTGACAACAAATCAGAAAGATACTCCTGAGACATATCACAAGTGACGACTATGTCATTCTCTTGGCCCAAATCTTCGGCTTGGGCCTCACGGCCATCAATATCGTGTGCTTCACGGTTGGGGGTATAGGACGACACATTCAGTTTGTAATGGACAAACTGCCCATATTTCTGAAGGTGAGGCCTAGACTGCGAGAAAGTACTGAGAAATATGCTGACTGGAGAAGTTGGTTTATTCTGCCATGGCCGTCTACAACGCGACGCAGATTGCAACAAAGGTATCCCTCATGCTGCAATACAGGCACATATTTCCCAGCCAGACAATGCGAGCAATATGCAATTGGAGCGTGGCATTTCTGCTCGTATGGGGAATTGCGCAACAGTAAGTTTTGACTCGCAAAACATGCCGAGTTCTAATCTAACGGCTAAAGGATATACACTTCGTTCGCGTGCGGCATTGCACAGCTTATCTATCCGAAGACTGTGGCTTGCATCCGGCCCGACATGTAAGCACCATATCCCGCGCGGCACATACATGATACATGATTTGCTGACACAAGGCACAGTCCATTCATTCTCAACAGCACAATGAACATGGTTACCGACTTTGCCATTTTGATGGTTCCGATCAAGCCCGTGCTCCAGTTGCAGATCAACAAAGTGCGCAAAGCATACCTCTTGATTGTTTTGTGCTTGGGTCTCGTGTGAGTGCTTCTATCTGCTAGTTCTTTCCCTGACGGGTGAACATGATGCTGACAACCAGATCAGGGTATGTGTCATCTCAGCCGTGCGACTGGCGCAACAACTGCATGTGACCAAGAACACTACGGATGGGACATGGATAATGGCAACTACCGCCATGCTATCCATTGTCGAGACGAACCTCGGCATAATGTGCGCTTGCGTGCCTACCTTGCGGCCATTGGTCAAGCGCATTGCACCGGTCCTGCTCGGATCTTCCAACAAGGATTCATCCGGCTACGGCAATGCGTACGGCAATGCGTATGGCCAACGCACGCGGCTCGACGACGAGCAGAATACAAAGAGTGGGCCAGGCAGCTCGATTTATATCCAAAAGGAAGTCAAATTCCACAGCACAACCGAGTTACGAAATCTGTCTAGCAACCCTAGAGATCCATATGCCATTGACGACAGGTCGTCGGATGAGATTAGCCTGGAGCAAACGACGGGTGTCACTGCGATATCATCAAGGGCTTGATTCTTGGGAAGAGGCGATTTTTCTTTTTCTTTGTTCTCGAATACCATGATTTTGGTGCATGAAAAGCTATGATACCTATGATGCGTATATTACTAGATATACCTCTGTTAGTTGGGTGGCTTGGGATATAGATTAATTGGGGAGTAATGTGGGGGTGGTGGTAATGTCTTTATCATAGTTGATTAATGTCTATGGTATTCTTTGATGATGACTATACCTTCTTACTTTTTTTTAGTGATTGGGGCACGACTGAAAATCAGCTCCACATGCGTACGATCCAACAACGAGGAGTAAAAGAATATCATAAACTCAGACTTGTCCACATTCACATCTCTCGGGTGAATACAATCATGTGCATCCACATTCTACATTGTTCTTCTTCTTCCCATATTACACATTCCACACATTCCACACATTCACTTCCTTCTACCCATTAACGTATCAAATCACGACAGTACGCAGAAAACAACCATTCTGGTCTTTTGCCTAACACCACAGTTTAACCATATATCCACAAAAAGCAACGTTAAAAACTTAAGGTGCTTATCCCCACCCTACATTATCCGTTCTATCATCTATTAAGCACAAGGGTTATCCCCACATCCTCACATTTAAGCTTAAAAAAATCGCCTTGTGCATCATCAGATTTAAAGTTATCCATCTGATGCTAAACCCACTATCCAAGCACATCCATCCTGATCCCCTCTTGTCGCATCCTCATCTGTGCAAACCATCACAGTCAAACGCAATACATGACGCACTGCCAACACCACACGCGCGTCTACCAACCCTCCTTTTGTCTCTCTGCATATCCGCGCCACATGCACCTCGCTTCCTCGCAACAAGCATTCCGCAGGGAAAGGAGATACCTCGGCACGGCAATAGCGACGCCGCTAGCTATCCTCACTACTATGCCGCAGCGCTCGTAGAAAAGAAGGGCCATCCCACTAGCATATCCCTTTTCACCCACACGAAAAGAAAACTAGCCCTTAGCAATCTTCCCAACGAGCGAGTAAGTAAAAGGACAGAAAAATTACGCAAAGAGGCATCGCCCATTTGCTTCGGACACCCCGATTACCACTCTACTCTACTCTACTCTACTCTACTCTGCACTGTAGTCGCAGCGACAGGGATACGTAGGCAAGTTTTATAACGCCTCCAACCACAGCCACACTTCCACAGCCACCACCACCACATTCACCTATACAAAAAAAAACTCGGGGGTGCAAAGGTACAACCGCGGTACCGCCGAAACACCGAAGCACCGAAGTGTACGAACTAACCTACCAAAACCTGCAACTTACGAGCCTCTTCGTTGCCGGTCTAGCAGCCGACAAAGCCAAACCGTGCCACAACGCGGTTAAAAAAAACCCGAGGCGAGCGCGCCGCATACGCTTCTTACCGTGCCGCAAAGCAACATACGGCGCTTTTCTCGGTTGAAAAAGAGGGTTGCTGTGTGTGTCGCGGGTGCTTAAACTTTTCATCGTCCAACAGACTCAAGGGGGGGGGGGGGTTCGCGCTTTTTTCCTTTCTTAGAGAGAACTCGTACGACAGATGCAAAGTATATCTCGCATCTCTGTCTTTCCCGCCATCTGTACCCGATGTTCTAAAGTTCAGTTCGCTTTTAGTTTCGGTACCACGTGACTTGTACGCTGCCACACAACATTGGTTCTTGCATTTTCAGCGCGGTGGAAAGTGGGTAGGTTGGGTTACACAAGGACGTGGGAGTAAAGAATGGGGGTGGGGGGAAGGCAAGACAAGGTGAGGCAGCAAGAAAGAGAAAAACTCCAACACCTCCAACACCCCCTCACTCGCAAAACTCCATCCATCTACACGCTCTCTCTCTCTCTCTCTCTGTTCTTCACCGCAACCGTATGTACGGGAAACCGCAAGGTTAAGCGCCCACACCCTTGACCCCGCATATCCCTGCACTAGACTCTGATTGGGCGATCATTGTGGTCTGTGCGCGCTGGAAGCGCTGTGCTGGAGCTAAACATGTTACCGTAGATGCAGTGGTATTTGCTTTTTCCCCCTTCTCTTCTTGTTCGAGATGGTTGTGCATACGTCTCTTCGCATTCTCAATAACATATATATATATATATACGTCATGAAGAAATATACAGTACAGTGAGAATTCTGTAAGAAGTACGTTGGGCGTGGATATTAAAAGGGTCAACGCGGGTGCGAGGGGCGCTCAATTCATCAACCCACACACGTATGCACTCGTTGTATTGTATATATATAGAGAGAGAGATGAAGATAAAGCAGGTGTGCTGTGTGCAAATACCGCAACCCCCCCCCCCCCAGTCCTCCATACCTCTCCTCCAAAAACCATCGTACACGTATCTACCCAATCCACCCAATCAACACCGCAGATCGCCCATAACCCTCTCCCCCTCCACATATTTACAATGCAGACCTATACGCCCGTTTCACCGGATTGCGTTATCGCGACCTGCATACGAGGATGCAATACCCATGTTGCTTGCGCACTGAGCAGCTTGCGATCCGTAATATCGAGGATGTATGCTGCGTTGTGTAAGTTAAGGGTCTGGGATGCTGTGGTATAGGGAGCAGGGGGTAGGTATTGTTTTATTGGTATTTAGGGAGACCGGGGGGGGGGGGAGTTGGAGTAGACTGGCACTTACTTACATGCTCTCTACAAGACGCACTGGACTTTGTCATGCGAGAGAAACAAATACGAAAAGGAAAATGTGGATTTCAGTAATTTTTTTTAAATTGATAATAGTATCGATGATGCATAGTGTATATGCATCATGCCAGGAAAAAAAAAGGGACTACTACTACGTCGACATACGGGTTTCTCTCATCTGACACCCCCAGCCAGCTCGCCAGCCCTCTTTTACCGCTTTGGCTTTCCCCCGCTCCAACACGCGCAACGCCCCTCCACATCCCCCGGCTCCAATAGGGTGGGCGAAAAAGGCAGCACAGCCAATCCGCACACGGCAGAAATTGAGAGGCAGAGAGTCTGGGACAGCAGGTTTTTTCTTTCTAGCCGCCCAGCCAGGTGCGCTGCTGCACGTGCGGAATTTCGCTAAACCCTCTCGCCCTGTTCCTACGCAGCAAAAAAATCCTTGCTGATAAAACCCCCGGCTGCCCAAAAAGAGAGAGGGGGGAGAGAGCGATAAACCAATAGATGTCATATACCCTACACCCCTGCTCTCTCTGTCTCTTTCTCGCGCATGCGCTGGCTGGTGGCCGCACTGCACACCCCTCCCCCCTTACCTCCCGCAAGCGGCGGGTCCTTTAATGTTTGGTATCCTGGCCCTACAATAAAATAGGAATAAATGTAGTAAAGTTGATCAAGGGGGTGTTTCCCAAGAAAAGTAAAAACGCCAATGTGATAATGTTTTCCGCCGTTAATAAAAGAAAAAAGTGAAGTCATAAGTTGAAGAGAAAGGACGTGGGCCGTAACGTCGTTTCCTCTATTGGTAGGGATAGTAGTGGGGGTGGTGTAATAAACAGAGTGGGTTTGGAAAGTGAGAGTAGATTTGTGGTAAGATCTGTCGATTGGTGATGTGGTGTGATGATTGAAGAGTAATTGGCTTGCGATCGGATCGCCTGGACCCGACAAGGTATTAGTTTGAAATTGGCGGACGGGCGGGTTGGTTTAGTAAACCGAATGCGTGTGTGTGTGTGTGTGTGAGAATGTGAGTGTGTGTACAAGGTAGGTGGGTGTTTGGTGGACGAATGAGAAATTAGGCGCCGTCGAGTGGGCGCCAATGCAGGGCGTGAAAGGAAGCATGGTTGGACGGAGTCCGAGCAGGTTGCGCGCACATGCATGCTCGACTTGGCATTGTAGAGACAAGTGTGTTCTGCCTAACAGCCTTCACACACATTCTCTCTACTCGACTTTTCTCCTCTTGCCGCGGGGTGCGGGGTCGATTTGCGGAAAGTGTGGCGCTTTTGCGTCGACGGGGGTGCGACTGTAAGTCACTGTCCTCGTCACCACTTCGCGCACACTGACCCGCCTGGACCGGCCAGTCTTCTTGTCTGCCTCCCATGTCTTGGGTGATGAGACGGCAGAGTAGGGTGACTGGATTGACTTTGCGCTGGCAGGGGACCTTACTGTAGCAGGCGAGTAGGGTGACTGGGGGATGTAGAGGCGGGGTGTCCGCGCTGAGTGCCGCCGAAAAGGTGATGGAGGTGGGATGGTGACGGTTTGAACCTTGGTTGGCGGTGCAGACATTGGTTCTTTTGCTTCATCCTTGGAAGTGTCGCAACTACCGCAGCTGTTTGATCTTGACGTTGCTGTCGAGTCCTTGTCTGATGGGGCTGATGTTGATGTAAAGGATGCGCTCGAGGCCGATGAGGTGACTGAAGTGGGACGGCTCTCTCCAAAGACGAACCTGCAGCTAGTACCGGTGGACATGGGGCTTGAGAGAACAGGCGACAGGTTCTTGAGGAACTCGAGGTAGGCTGTCGGGGGAGTGATTGGCGTCTTGATGTCCGAGTCTTCCCGCTTGATACTGGCAAAGATGGGCGTGGTAGCAGAAGTGACCATGGGCGACCGGAGCTCTGAGGGGTACGTGGCCGACATGGGCGTCTTGAGGGTAGACAGGGCGGGCTTGGAGTCGGTGGCAGCCATTGTTGGTGAAGTCTTGATGAACGAGTGACTGGAGATGGTTGGCCGGGGGCTTGGTGGCTCAGAGGGCGGGCGGTGCTATGCCTTTGTCCACAGCAAAGTGGAGAGGGTTGGAGGGCGAGGCAGGCAGACGGGCAGCTGCTGGCGCCTGGGGATGGCAGGTGTTTATTGTGCCTACTCGAAGGCAGCTTGGCGCGGATGCGCTGTTGTCGTTGGCCGCTGTATGGGCCGGGTGGGGTTATTTTTGGGCGCGAAGAGTTGCAGCGTCTGCTAAGCGCCGAGGGCAAGGATGGACAGGCCCCGTGCACTGGTGAACTCCTCCACCGCCCCTCGATTCGCTGCCCACCGCTGAAACAAAATGTGCCGTCCTTTGGGCCCCTGCAGGTCGAGAGTCTCTGACCGGCTCGATGCGCAGTCTGATTCGCTGCTCACTGGGCGGATGTGTGATGGTGGGTGCGGATGTGCGGGAGCCAGGCTGGTAACCTGAAGCTGAACGTGGCGACCTGGTAGAAAAGCAGTGTCGCGGGCCTGAAGTAACGAATCCTGACACGGCCTGCTGAGACGCTGGCGTCAGACAATGGCAGAGTGGTAGTAGTATGTAGTATGTAGTAGTAGTCGTAGTCGTAGTAGTAGTCGTAGTCGTAGTCGTCGCAGAAAAGTAGACAAGTGCCTCAAAAACGTAATGTACCGGCAAAACCAATGTTGCTGCAACCAGGCTGAAGCTGTGTGCAAGCAGTGCATGTCCTCGTCGTGCGAGCGTGACATGATTTTATGTCTTGCTTGCAGCCGCTGTGTATCTCTACGCTGCTCTGGACAACGCGCGCGCGCTTCCAGCCCATACCTTGCCTCTGCTCTTCCAACCCTATTCTACCTCCCAAGCACCTGACTCTGGTTCGCCGTTGAAACACGACGACCAGCGCTTACAATACTACTCTTCCCAGATGCCTATCACGTTGCCCAAACACCTTCTCGTCTACCCCCATGGACGGCTACGCGGCGATCCGCCCATCTATCCTTTGTTACACAGCTCCTAGAGGCCCAGCCAATGACCGTCTCCTGCCGCATGCAAGATGAAGCCACGCGCGGATGCTCCGAGTCTATGGTACAAAAAAAGGTCAAAAGCACAGAGACCGGGTCCCTCCACACAGTGGCGACCGAGTCGGTCCAGCTTCCGCTGTGCCCCGTCCCAACCAAGGATTCGCTTCTCTCACCACGCCTAACCAACGAGAGCTCGCAGCTCGCTGTTCTGCTCTACCTCGTCCTCGCGAATGGGGCTCACGGCGTCGCCGACCGTAATAGTGGGGTTCTGCGCAATGGGCGATGACGCATTGCTCCATGGTAGATGGCATGTGTGTTCGCCAAAGTACACGCGGCCGTCAAATCGTCGCGTCTTCGAAAGCGTTACAAACGGCTCTTGGTTTCTCTCAGCCGTTTGCTGGTCGATGCACACCATTTGACACCTCCGACACGCCCCCAGCATCTCAAAATACTGTCGACCAATCCGAAGGTAGCGCCACTCGTCTTCAGCGTACGGGTCCTCCAGCCCAGGCGGGTACGCTGGGTTCTCCGCAACCACAATGTTGGCTCTGAACACCTCTGCTTGCGCCGCCTTACCGCCCTCCGCTTTGATTAACTCGTTCAAACGGTTGAGGCTCGATCGTGAAATAGTTAGAATAGGACTCTCATTCGCCAGTAAAATAGGCTTCGAAACGCACGCGCCAGGTGTAACTGGCACCGTTTCTGGGAACGCGCCGGGCACTCGCATAGCGCCCGTCTTTTGATGCTTTTGCAGATGCGCCTTTGAATGTCTTGATGCGCCACTGCCATTGCTAACAGCTGGGAAACGAGCCAGGTGACAGGGTACTCCGAGAGCCTGTGTAAAGAAGGCTGATATGTCACTCGACCTGTACGTCTTTGCCTGGATGGCGTCTCCGCATACTTTGGCACTAGCATCTTTGTACATGGCTTCTTCTGTAAACAGACGTGGGTCTGCTGAGAGAGGGATGGCTATCTCGTGCGTGATAGCGGCGTCCTGCAGCGCGCCCGCAAGACTCACTCGTAGCACACCCTTTTCAAGGTCAATGCTAGGTCGTATGAGGGCCATCTTTGGGTAGCGCTTTTGGCTCAGTGCAGCCCCTGTTCCCTGATGGACAAGACACCATTCACGATCCCACGCAAGGCCCTCTGGACGCACATCCCATCGTCTACCCAGCGGCACGCTGAACCCCGCACAGCTTTTAATAGGATACACACAGAGACTCTCCACATGTAGACGACTTTGCGTTGGTGGCTCGATATCAACAATCGCCATTGGAGACACGTCCAACTGGGGGCTTTTCTCAACGAAAAACTCGCTCAAGAAGGAAACAAAGCACTCTACATCTGATAGGGCACTCATGGCTCCAAAACTGACACGTATGATGCCCGTGGGCTTCGCGCGGATGATGTCGTTGTCGTTGCCGCACCGCTGCCCGGCCGAAAAGTTCTCGCGCATTTCCCACGGTGCCAGCCCCAACGACGATGCAACTCCACCAGGATTGCAGAGCCCGCCAGTTCGGAGCTGGATGTTCTTGATTGCAGCCAGTTTCTCCACCTCTGCGTTGCTAACCCAGCCACCATATTGGTTTTGGAGATTGAAGGCAACAATTGGACCTTGAGTAAGACAATCTCCATACGTCGACGCCGGGTCCTTGTAGACGTAGCAGACCTGTTGGCCATTTCCGTGCCGCAACGATAGGAGCTCTTGGTGTAGTCTTTGGGAAAGAAAAGCAGTGTGCCTTGAGATCCTTTCCAATGAGACATACAGTTCCTGGTGAATAGTCATTGCGCTATCGAGCGCCATGATACTATGTATAGGTAGCGTACCATCCTCCAGCCTTTCATGGAGTGACTCTGCCTTCTTTGCATGCCATTGTTCCTTGAGGCACACGACCATGTCGACGGTGCCACCGCCAAAGTAGCGTCGCTTGTCGAATATCGATGCTGATGCCTGCCTGACGATAAGTGCGCCAAGATCGGGAAAGCCAAACATTTTGTACAGGCTCAGCACTGTAAAGTCGGGGGCCTCGTCGGAGTTCCCAAGGTCAAGGGGCGATGTAGAGACTAAGGCTGCAGCGTCTAGCAGGGTATACACTGAGTTGCGCTTGTTGGTGCGAATGCGGCGCGACCAATCCAACGGTAGACGACGCCCATTCATGTTAGACTGCGCTGGGTATGCGAATAGTTGTGCAGTACCAAACTCATTCTCGTCACCCTCGACCCACGCATTCACTTCCGCATCCGAAGCGAAGCACCTGTGCTCAGTGGCACCTTCGCGCACGCCTATCAAACTCGTATGCGCATCTCGATGGTAGCCATACCAGAACCCACCATCTTGGTCACGAAACGCTTCCATGACCAGTTTTATCCCAGCAGTGGCGTTTGCGACAAAGACCACGTCAAACTCTTGCGGATCGGCGTTGAATAATTGCAAGAGGCGTAGTCGCACATCCTCGATTCGGCGTGTGGTCAGCTGGGAGGCGTTGGAGGCCGAGTGCGGGTTGCCGTAGAGGTTGGTCATCATGTCGGCGGAGAAGCGCTCGATGAGAGACTTGGAATAGAGCGTAGTCCCTGCATGGTCAAGGTAGGTTGTGTCTGTTTGGTGTGAGCCTATATCCTATATCCTATAACAAATATTGCTGCACCCACCCTGCAACATGGGATACTCTTTGGCGCGAAGCTCCTCGATCGCATTGTTGTAACTGATGCACCCCGCCTCGTCCATGATGTTTGATGTATACGGTCGTATCCTGCAAAAAGCCTCGTTCACCCGTAGTCACTCGAAGGAGAAGAAGAAACAGCAGGGTTTGCAAAGGAAACCATTTGTTAGCATATAGCGTAGCTGGCTGTAGTGCTTGCAAGAGTGGGGGAGACGCGAAGGCGAACGGTGGAGTCGTGTCTTGGGCCTAGATAAGTGCGGCCGGTCCCGAACGCTCGGAATGCGCCATCGTATTCGTGCATGGCACATCAAGTAACAAGCATTGTCCTAAATTACTCAATTCAAACCCCATGCGCCGTCTATCTAGTCTAGTTTGTGTAAGTGAACGCGCTGCAATCATATCAAAAAAACAGGTCAGCCGTGTTCTTCGTCTCATAATCTATGAGGAAGCCATGCGCTTGGTACAAACAAGACCAAAGTGCTCCCACCAGCCCGTCACTCACTGCAATTGAGTTCCCCTAGTCCGCGTACGTATAGGAATACGGCGTCTGCTCCCGAATAATTTCGGAAGCGTGTTCCGACTCCATAACGTGGCCAGCCACCTAAAGCTGCTTGTTCTCCCTTGCCTGCTTCTCAGCAACAATCTTTGCTTTGGCCACCCTCTCCTCCCTCAACGCAGTGTACACCCAGAACCATATTCCAATCTCCAAGAAACCCCAGGTAAAGAGGATGCTGTTATTCAAGCCCGCACCCACGCTTGCTCTGTAGTCCGCACCCTTTGCCCCAAGTAGACCGCCCTCCTTGAATGCGTACGAGTAACCGGTGACGGCGAAGAGGAAGAATAGGCGCACGGGTGCTTGGAGACCCCAGTATTCGTCGGAAATTTGTTCGTGAAGCGAGAGAGACGTCAGATCGCTGATGCCGATAAAGGCAAAGAGGACGGCCAGAAAGGCGATTGATGCAGAGGGCTTGGTGAATTCGTGCGGTGTGGGCTGGAAACTGTCAGCGACTTGTTTGGCCATCTGAGTGTAGCCTCAATTGATGATTGGGACGCGTACGAGTTGCATTGATTGCTCAAGGACAAGAACGATGCCCTGCTTCGCTATCAAGGCGGGATTCCTCAGCAGGGTAACTGCGAGGGTGAGGTGGAACAGCGATATGCTGCGTATCATGTTGTTTGCTGATATTAACGGCATTTTGAAATATGTAATGCTATAATTGGGACGGCTTGGGATGTGGAATGTGGAGTGAAGAACGGCGTTGCTACAATGCGTGTGCAATCATTCGCGTCGCGTGTTGTTTCGGATTAAACTCTACTACGGGTGACGGTTACGCCATAAACGTCAGGATTTAAAGCTAGTTACTATTTTTTATAATTATGAATTCTGACATTTAGGGCGTAATCGCCACCTGTACTCTACAAAGTCCGTCCACATCCGTATTACTGCCAAGACTTATGTGTACATCTACCACCCCCCCGAGTCTCACACTTGACCTGACCTCCTTTACACACTTCTCTTGTTCAACATGGAGAAGCCATTTGGGTTTACCGCCCGTGAAAAGCATGCAGCTATGCAAAATGATAGCTCTCAAAAACGGCGTACACGCCCTTCGAATGGCATCATCTTCTCCGCCGTGCTCCTGCTTATCGCATTTGCCATGTGGTCCTCACAGATACCCACTCGAATCTGGACACCTCGCAAGCATAAGTGTGGAGGGAATCTGACTGTCGAAGAAAGAGCTGTGAGAATACTCAAGCAAAATCCGCTCATCGGTTAGCGCCATGAACCGTTATCATCTGATCATTGACTGACTTCATCAAGATGGGCATAATGACCTGTTGATCTTCATCCGCGCCAAATACCAGAATCACATCTACAACAACTCTGACAGTGATTTTGCCAGGAAATTCGAAAATGGCGGGCTCGACATGCACGTTGACATTCCGCGCCTAGAGAAGGGACTCCAGGGCGGCGCCTTCTGGAGTGCATTCTGGCCATGTCCCCTGGGCGACGGCACAAACTTCTCAGACTCAAGATATTCCGACAGTAATTCAAGCCTCCGTAACCCTTCCTTCTCCCTCCAACACTAAAACAATCCCAGTCGTCAAATCCACCCTCGAACAACTCGACCTCTTCAACCGCCTAGGCTCCTCCTACCCCAAATACTTCACCCCAACCCGAACCAGCGCAGACGCCCTCCGCGCTTTTAACACCGGCACCTTCATCGCCCCCGTCATCATCGAAGGCCTCCACCAAATCGGAAACTCAATCTCCACCCTCCGCCTCTACCACCAACTCGGCGTCCGCTACGCAACCCTGACTTGGAACTGCCACAACAAGTACGCCGACGCCGCCATCGAGACAGCAAAAGACTGGAGTCCCGTGATTGCGAAACCCCACTGGCACGGCCTCAGCCCCGCCGGACGCGACCTCGTCAAAGAAATGAATCGCCTCGGCATGCTCGTCGATCTCGCCCACGTCAGTCAAGACACAATGCGCGACGTCCTCGTCGGCAACGGCGCGCCCGGTTGGAACGGCAGTATTGCTCCCCCGATCTTCAGTCACAGCTCTGCATACGCAGTTTGTCCTCACCCACGCAATGTGCCAGACGATATCTTGCAACTGGTTAAACAGCGCAACTCGCTCGTCATGGTTAATTTTAACCCCGATTTCGTATCTTGCAAGGCTTCAGATACCCCGAATTCTTTTCCGGAATTCGTACCCGAGAATAATACCTTGGCGCATGTTGTGCGCCATATCAAGCATATTGGAGAGTTGATTGGGTACGATCATGTTGGGCTAGGCACGGATTACGATGGTATTGAGGAGACGCCGAAGGGACTGGAGGATGTATCTAAATTTCCGGATTTGATTGCAGAGTTGTTGAGGCAGGGGGTTAGCGATGAGGATGCGGGTAAGATTGTAGGACGCAATTTGCTGAGGGTGTGGGCCGAGGTTGATAAGGTTGCGGCGGAGTTGCAGAAGACGATGCTGCCGCTTGAAGATGAGTTCGAGAAGGAATTTTGAGGGGGTGGTGCGGCGGCCGCAGAATGCTGGGATGCGGGACATGAATGGGTGCTAGGAATATAATTATATAGCCATGTTAAAAGAAATCAAGATATTGGACACCTGGAGTGAGATTATGGGAAAACCCGTCGTTGTGTTTCCCCTAGTTCCATGGTTTATCGCGATTAAGATCAATGAATTCCAATTGTCCATGAAAATTCGGACTGGCTGCATACGCCTTGTAGATATACATTTTAATACATAGCGGTGAGATTCCAACGGAGCTGTACACACACATGTGGAGTGCATCTCACACGCTTAGTGGCTGGGAAGGTATAGGGGCGGGAGTGTAGCGCTAAGAGGATGTTTTGAACGCGCACATCGGTGCTTTTTGAGAGTTGATGGTGTGATCGTGGTCATACTAAGTGACAAGGTTTTGTAGTGAGCTTCTGAAGGGAAGGTCGTGGGTGGTCTCGAATGTTGCTTCTGGATAATTGTGGGATCGTATTATTTATCCTATCCATTGCTTGGGGGTTTGGAAGCATAGCATGCGGTTACTTCCAAGAAGAGTGTCGGTTTGATTTGTAAAGTTCGGATTGGCGTGCGAGGCAATTGACGTAGGTCGTGTGAACATGGGTAGTTGAAGTATTTATTGAGATTGGAGGAGGTTTTGTTTCGCCATAAAGCAGGGTTGTATGAAGGTGAGGACTATACGAGCGTTATAATCCGTTCTTCGGCATTGAGGTGAGCATTGAATATCGTCCCAGGGTCTCCTCTAGAGAGACCAACAAGGAACGTTCCAACCCCCGAGAAAGTCGCTGAATCATTGCCTCTTGATTGCAAGAGCAAACCTTCCAGCATGCTTGTATCCCTTTCATCATTTTCACCCTGTTTATCCTCTTCGTCACTGTTGCTAACACTTCCTCGAGAGTTGCCTGAGATCTTTCTCTCCTTTGTGTTTTGTGTATCATCATTCCCGTCGTCATCAACATGATTTTCATGGAAGCATCTTTGAATCACGATGATGTAAATTTGTTGTGGCTCACAAACAGTTGGATCATCCGTGTGGACATGAGATGAAATCTTCATACTCTTCCCACCGAGTTTTGCGTCTGATAGATGCACGTCATCTTCCATCAGTACGAGGTGATAATTAAACTCGTATGTAGCGAGCACATTTTCAGCGTCTGGTATGAGCGTAGCAAGCATTGGCCTACACCTGATTCTCATGGATGCGTATGTGAGTTCTCCAGAGAGCTTAGTCGCGATGTCGAGATCGATAAGCTCTGTTTCAAAGTGTCGACTTTTGTGCCCGCTGTGGTACTTGGACACTGAACTCATCCATATATAACCATTGGAAGCAGCCCAACTCCAAGTAGGAGCTCTCCATTCTGTGGGCTCGACGGGAAGGTTTTCATTGGGAAAGCGTAATATGAACCAACATAGCTCCTCGATCATTCGACTCTTCCAGAGCCCAGCGACAAGTTCATCTCCTGTGGCACCTCCAACTTGTTTCGCTATTCCGCAAAGTGCTACCAATTTGTCGCTATCCCGAGTAAGTGCGCTTCTGGAGTAATGTACTCGAAAGGAACACCAAGCCCAATAAAGCCTGTCGTCCAAGCCTGATTCCAAGCGCGGCATTATCTTAATGCCGTTCGAATAAGCATCGCATTGTTGCGAGAACTCATGAAGACGCCTCTTTAACATGGTGGCATCATCATACCAATATGGCAATGCTTCTCGCGGAATGCCATTCGGATAGGTTTCGCAAGTTCTGCTTCCGTAGCATTCCCAAAACACCTGGCTATCGCTGAAGTGCATAATTCGACGAGAGAGCTGCCTCTCTTGGCTAACCCAGGCTCGTGAATTAAGTGGCGCCCGTTCGATGCAGTATGTGGTCATGTGTTCTATATCGCACAAATAAGTACCCATCGGGTAGACTGCTTTAGCTTTATTCCTTAGCCAGGGTGCATCAGGGTTGAAATGAATGTCTAGAAGGCGTGGCAATGACTGTTGTGGATGCCTCTCAAAAAACAGACCTCCATCACTATTACCCGAAGCAGTTGCTGCAATCGTACATGCTGCGTGTGCATAGACCTGTTCCATACGGCTAGATTCATACTCCCAGTCTGGTTCGCTGTCCTGAATAATGCAACTGCTAATGTGAGCTGGTATCCTATGTTCGAATTGGTTTATCACCTACAGCGAGTCAATCCATAAATAACGGATACGAAGACAACGAGTTACATGAATAGCATCGCGGAATGTCTTTGGCAGATTTTCTGCATCAATTCCCTTCTCCAAGTCCTGCTGTGTCTTCGAATTCAGCGTGTATGGCTTCGAATTTCCCCAACAATGCGAGAGGCAGACATATTCTTGACTACTGAACATCTTCGCGCTGCGGAGTATGATCGGGCTACCCTCATGGCCAACATCAAGGAGTCTTGATGGGTACTGGTTCAATTCTGCTGACTCTGGGGTACCGCATTGCACATGATCGGCACAACAGTCATGGTATTGCTTGAGAAGAAAGGGGAGAGCTTCGCGAGTATTTGAGGGCAGAGTGCGACCAATCGAAACATCGGTAGAGGCTATGGATGAATCAGCCATCGTCCACAGTTGTATTGACTAGACGGACTTGGAAGACGCTGAAGAACTAAACAGGCACTACTAATTCTCTTGTAATCGGGACCTAGATTCCAGAAACGCAAGGTTAGTGTGTCCTCCCATTTTCCATACAACAACACTGCTGTGACCCCTTGAAAGTCAGATTCCAGAGGACATTCCTTGGCGTTCAACCATGCCAAGGTACAGATCGAGCATGGCAGTTGCATAGCCTCTTTGTACGAGTCGAAATCGACGTGGTGATCGAAGGCTACAACGAACCGAGAATTGTAATCATCTCTCAACCGAAGGTCCCCAACTACGAACCTGCGGCACGGCTCACATAACTTTGTTTCTGTCATAGTTAGCTCGCATTCGGGGTATCGTCAGTTGTGAGATGTCAAGAGAGATATGGTGAAGTAAGAAAGTGAGGGGTAAGTATTCGGATCGTTGTTGCCTAGCAAGCTCAACCCCAAAGTATCATGACCATCTAAGCCACAGCATGCACACATGTCTGTGGCTGCAATACATCCCATCTCCAAGCTAACCAAAAAAATCATCAAAAAGAAAAAACATTACACACACTCCATCCACCAGCCACATCCAAAATTCGAAACCCCGAATCCCCAGTCCAAAGCCCAAAAGCCCAAAGCCTGGTTTCCAACCCTCACCATCCCGCGCGCCTACCTCATCACCCCCCATCTTCCCTCCGACCAGCGCCCGTACCCCTCCACCCCCCTCCAACTCACCATCACAACCCGAACGCGTAAACCCGACCGCTTCTGCGACCCATCACGTACACGAGACAATCAAAGGGGGGTGTTAGACACGGCACGTTGAACCGGCAAGGCATATGTGACAGCTTACGCATCCCGTCGGGCGAGACGCTGGCACATGTGGGAATCACGTGAAGAGCACGGCGAGAGAGCAAGAGGGGTGTAGCGGGTGGGTAATAACGCAGCTTTCCTTGCTCAAATCTCTTTTGGGAGAAAAAAAAAGAAGAATGCGGTGATGATTACCGACTGAGCTATTCCACTATTCCTCAAAGTTCATGTTGTATGTAGGGTATAACACCAGTGATACCAAACATCACACCAAGATTATCATGACAATGCACGTAGAAAAAAAAAGGTAAGAGAGGGAAAAAGTTCCAGTCTGCATTAGGTTCATTCTTCGCATTCCTGAAAACCATCCAGTTCCTCCCCTTTCATATCTCTATATATCGTCCATCTCATCAAGAAACAAAACGATACAAAAAAAGATATAAACCTGCGTTCAGAGAGAGCGGTGTGATGAGTTCGCCAATCTTTACTCGAGTTTGTGTAAATAAAAAAAAGGTATCAAGCGATAACAAGAAAATACAGATATATCGACCATTGGTTAGCGATAGTAAAGTGAGGACCAAGAACAAAGGGAAACAAGCTAAGCACAAGCCGGCCAAAGCCGGGGCTTTCGCATGAGGGACAAAAAAAATGTACACTCCAGGGTCAAAATCGCCGAAACCACGCCATGTGGATACGATGGACAGGTTTTTCTTTTGCGGGTTTGCCGGATGAGATAGAAGAGAAGAGAGAAACGACGAGGATGCGCGCTAAATCACAAAGATACCCAAAAACAACTTGCTTATCGTTGGCCGGTGACGGTCGGGCCAAAGTCAAAGCCAGCAGGTGCTTGTGGCTGCTGTTGCTGTGGTGGTGGGTATGAAGGTGATGCTAGCGGGGTGTATGCACCAGGAATGGGCACAGCGGCGTACTGCTGTTCGCCTGGTGCAGCAGCAACGTGATCGTTTCTCCTTTCTTGGAATGCTGGAGATGGAAGTGGTGGCGAAACGGTGTTTGTGCGAACAGGCGCCTCGAAGCCTTCCTGCTCAACCTTGGGAGTCGCACCAGTGACCTTGATAGGTGGTGCCTGGAGGGTGAAGGGCTGGGGCTGAGCGATTTCACGTGCATATGCGTATTGAACCTTATCGCTTTCGCCATTCTCAGCCGCAGAGTGTGGGTCCACGTACATTGGGTGGCCTGGTGGTGGGCGCCAGCCGCCGGAGCGAGGAGACATTGGGCCGAAACCAGGGGTGTTGGGAGCGGACTGGGAGCGCAGCTGAGCAAGGTAGAGATCCGAACGAGCGCGGTCGCGCATGGCCATGGACTTGCGGAGCTTGCGCTTGGACCAGAAGCGGTAGAAGACAATTCCGTAAATGGCAATGACGAGGACCTCGATGACGACTTCGATGATGCAGCAGACAAGAGCCCAGTTCTGACGCACTGTTAGTGGGTTGTAGAATGGAGGAATTTAGGGATGCATACCTGAAGACGGCAGACAAGGGCATAGGCAATGTCATCCTCAAAGAGATGTCGTCGCTTGTTGTCAACGCACGACCAACCCCACATGTCTTTGTTGTTGTTCTGCGCTTTACTTTGATTGAAGACGGCTGCACCAACGCCCCACATGATGATGCTGAAGATGAAGAATGCAACGGCGAAGACAGTGTAGTAGGCAGCGACCTTTTCGGCCCGATGGTGACCTCCTCTCCAATAGGCGATGATGACAAAGATGGACATGACCAGGGAAATGCAAGCAATGGTAAGCAGGAGAATCTGAGGCCAGGTTTTGGTGTTGTTAGCCCATGGAGGTAGACCGTTGCGAGGAGCCAGGGTTTTGGTAGCGTTGAAGATGGCAAATGCGGTTGCAACCATGGAGAGAACGATGAGAGAGCAGGCAAAGTTGACACCTCGGAGGAAGATCTTTGCTAATCGCACGCGTACTTTGATTTTCTAGTTGGTGTTAGTGAATGCACGTAGCATAGATGGCGATTTCATAAACATACCAGATCCTTTGCTTGCTCCTTTTCAGTCATGGCCTCGCGCTTCTCAAGCTGCTGCTCTTCCCTAAAGGTAGGGCTCATGATGGACATTGCGCCGGCTGGTGTCCGTGGGGGAGCGCCAGGCGACTTCAAGGCGCTCTTGAGAGGCGTCTTTGGCGTTGGGGGAGGAAGGTACCTTCGGTCGGTTTCCTCCATCTCGACTGATTGCATGTAGCCAAAGCCTGTGTCGGCGATCTGGGGTTGTGGCTTGTAGTGGTTCGTTGGATACTCGACTGGTGACCGAGGAGGGTCAATAGGCGAGTGAACTGATGTTGCCTCTGCGAAGCGGGCTGCACGTGGTGTCCTGACGTCGAGAGAGTCTTTGGAGCTTCGTCTTTCAATGGTGATATGGGTAAGCTTCTTGTCGTTGGCGGCCATACTAAGGATATGCGAGTTTTACTCGAGGGCAATGGGGAATGGCATCAAGTGGGGGCAAGAGAAGTAGAAAGAGAACAGTGCCACAACGTCGACGACTATAATCCAGCCCAGCTAAGACGAGTCGCGAGAAAGGCTACAAGAGATGGATGATAGAAGAAACACGACGAATTACAATAAGAGACCTGCTGGAGAAAAGGAAAAGGCGTGGCAAGTGGGCGAAGCGCTGGGCTTTTGTTGTCGGGGCGCTTGGAAAGCGGCAACGGGCGAGGATTGGATAGGTGGGGAGCACGGATAGTAGCAGGTGGGGAGAGAGAAGATGGCAAAGCGGGCGGGTACTTACAACGTTCTAAATGTATGGCGGCTAGAGGCAGGCAGCTGGCACGACTGCAGGTTCGCGTGTGATAGGCCGGCTGGGGAGACGAGGTGGATGCCAATGGCGCGCAGAGGAACGAGGCGAGTGGTGGCCCGAAATAGACGCCCGGGAGAAGTCGATAGAGGAGGTACAGATGATGCGGCCAGAAGCTTGGTTTATGGGCAGCTGTGATTGCAATGCCTCGTGCTTATCCTGTCGGTCAGCGTGGCAATATGCAACGCTGTCGCTCTAGATTGCGCTCTGTCTCTGTCTCTGTCTCTCTTTTCTTTTGTTGCCGACGTAAGATGGGTCAGAGGTTGAGGTAGTGGTGGGTGAATGTACCTCTGGCGTCTGGAGCGCCTTCAGACGTTAAGAGAGCATGGCCCAGGTCGAGGAAACACCGAGGAAACAGCCATGGGACGACGGGCGGCGGGGGCGAGTCGTCGGGAGCGCCTTGTGCCCATGATTCTGGTGCAGCGGGGCAGGGCATCGAAATGGCTGATACCCAATTACTGGTACACATTTGACGCCCGCAAAATGGGCAAAATGTAACATGGCGGTTGCAGCAGCTGAGTGGTTGGCCGACGCATGAGAGAAAAGCGCGCTAACCCTGTTTGGGCCTGCAAGCGCCGTCCCACTGCGTTAGCGGCCCACTTGGTTGAATCCAATTCACTGCCGCTGATGCTCTCGAGTCCATCCAGTCCACACACAACCACCATCAGCCCTGACAGCACTCGTCCATCACCGCTCGCTGCCTCACCAACACTCGACTCGCTGACTCCAGTCCTCGTACGCCCGCAGCTCGTCCGACATAAAGCTTCAAACTGCCCCAGTGCATACGTACGCAATTCCATCAGCACCCCAGCTCCACCCACGCCTTTGCGCCCTGCTTCTACTACACCTAGGCCTCGTCTATGCCGCTGCCAAGTCATGTGAGCGCTGCGGCATCCAGGCTCCCCAGGCCTGGCCTTACATGTGCTCGACTTACAAACATGTTTCCTGCACCCTCTGCTGCTTAGTCCCCGAGCCGCTTCGCCACCTTCCCGCAAAACGCTCTCCATCTGCACGTCGTCCGCGCACTAGCTGTCTTGCGGTAGTTTTGTTTCGTTTCTTGCTCACTGAATGCAGGCTTATTTTTGGCCCCCCGCTGTCAGCTGCATCGTGGGGTAGCACCAACGCGCTGATAGCTCAGCTATGACATGGTCGTGTGCGCTACTTCTAGTTGATGGGTTAACCCTACCTAAATATATCCCTTTGCGCACACTTTGTCGAATCCCAAATCCCATAATTAACAAACACTGGGGCCAGCCGTTCTCTCTGCATGCAGCGCGGATCCCCCAGCTGGCACGGCCGTGCAGCCCGTTTCGAAACAATTTTACCCTCTTTTAGCCTCGCGTCCTCGACTTTGGATATTTGCTCGTCTGAATCTTCCTTGTCCCTTGTCCCGTCGATATTAATCATGCAGGAAGATGTATATGTTTTCCATCCGATATATGTTTTTCCTTGGTTTTCTGGCTGCCTGAAAAATTGTGTCATCGTACGATGCTCAATGGAAACCCAACCAACATTTTGCCAATGCCAGCCCGTCGCAAAATCGCTTTTATAATTAGCAAACCATACATTGACGCGGAGTTTAGTAGCCCTTGCGCGAGAGAAATGATCTGCCATGGAAAGAGTCCAGGTCTGCTATAATGGCAGCTTTAGCTGCATATTGCAATCGGTCCTGGAGAGGGTGTTCGCGCGTGAAGAAACGCGATCCAATTAGCTTTCAATAACCAGCTATGTATGTGTTTCGTTGAGGCTAATTTTATAAGTCCTATTATGAAGAACTAGGGTTCTGTACTCCATATTTCTATATTATATAAGAAGGAATTCATGCAGTTCTCAAGCACATCACATGTAAGTACAATTGATGTTTAGGGCGGAAGCAAACCACTGCTATACAGGTATATACATGAACAGAAAGATGAAGATTAATTGCAGAGACTGCCTTTATACACTTTACATACAAAATCCCAGAACGCGGTCATTTTAGGACTCTCTAGGCATCGAAATCAACAACAAGGCGAGTGGTGACAGTTCACTACTTCCCACCAGAAATCTCATACGCATACGCGGTCGCATTAGTCGCCGGATCAACCGAAATAGTAATCTGTTCAGACGAAACATTAGCAATCTTCATATCCAGGTCCTTACCAGGGAGGGGAAAAAAAGAGGCAGAAGAAAGAAAAACATCACTCACCATCCCATCACTAACGTTCACTGTACTCGTACCCAACGCCACAGGCGCCCCAATCTCGCCCGCAGGCCCCGCCCAGTCAAAACGATACGTAGCAACACTAACCGCCACACCCTCTAATCCACTAATCTGAATATCATACTGACTCTCCACAATGCGCGTCCCCGCGATAACCTTGACAAGGCCGTCTGCAGATTTAGTCGCGAACACGTCAAACAAACTATCATCCGCGGCCTTTGTCGCAAGTCTCTCTCCCGTCATGCCAGCGTAGTACTTGTACAACTGCCACTCGCCATTCGGACGATACCCAGCGCCACTCTCTGGAAAAACCAGATTAGCGAGCGAATCGTGCAGGCCCGTTCCAGAGCCCCAGTTTGCGCGTAGACCGCGCAGGTTGTGCCGCTCGAGTTGGGCAATGTAGTACACGGAGCAGCCGGGGGTTTGCTCTTCTTTTGCTGCGTACTCGTTGATGTCGATGGGGCGTTCAGGGAGTTTGTTCGAGGAGCGCAGGGTGTTGAAGTCGGGGATTGTGGCGTCGGGTTGGCGGGACCAGCTGCCGATTTGGTGCCAGGAGTAGATATCCGGGACGGCGTTTTTGCTGGCGATGGTGCTGAGCCAGGTTTGCCAGTTTTCTGAGTTTGTGCTAGGGGAGGCGGCCATGGAAGGGCCGCTTAGCATGGTTGAAGGAAGGTTTTTTCTGGGTAGGGGAGGGGGTTGGTTAGCTTAATGGTCTAGGGAGAAGCTAGAAAGCGACATGTGTGTGGGAACTTGCCTGAGGAAGTTGTGCGCGTGGACGTAGTAATCGAGGAATTGGGGCCATGTACGAGCCCAGAATGAGTCAATATCAGGCTCATTCCAGATGTCGAGGATAAGGCCGTCGAGCATGTTGTTGGCCTTGATGTCTTTGACGAGCTGGGTCAAGAAGGCATCGGTTTCGGTATAGTTGCCATTGTCGCCGGGGAAGAGAGGGATGCTGCTACCGTCTGCTCCCCATAGGTCGTGGACGAGGAGTATAAACTCGCCATTGTATTTCCGAGTGGTACGGTAATTCGAAAGGGTGGACTTGAAGCGCGGAAGGTAGCTGTCGTAACCATCGACCCAGCCACGAGTCGAGGTTTGAGCACCGCCAGCTCGGCTGGCACCGAATTTGACGTCAGTAATATAATTTGCGGGAATCGAAGTGTCTACTTCTGTCCCGTTGTCGGGAAATCCGTAGATCCATCCTGAAGCAAGGGATTTTGCCTGGCCCGAAGTCTTGGAAAGGTCAACGGTTGCAACGCTCTTGGCTGCTCTTCGGATGCTGGCTGCTTCGAGGAGCGTGAGGCTCGAAAGCAGAATACTAGCAATTGTGGATGACCTCATCTTTTCTCGAGAATGAACCGGTCACAGGCCTAATAGCATGGCTCAATGAATGGTACATCAATCTCTTCTTATGTATGCACGTCTTTGGCAAGCTCCTACTAGCATTTTAAATTAATCCGGGAATTATTTTCCAGCGACATATTCTCAAAAGAATATTTGATTGACTGTGAAGAAGCAGTATTGTAGCTGTGGACGTCATGCGGGGTGACAATAGCGCGAAATTAAATTAATTGTTGCCAAATCTGTGTAGACCTAGTGGAAATTCCGGTGGAGAGGGAAGGGATGCCTGTAACCCCGCATAACCCATGTTGAGATACAATGTCTCCGGTGGGGTACAACAGGCTCAGCAACGTACAATGCTTGGATAAGTAGTTTTGTTGTATAGAACAGCAGCCGTTGTAAATGACTAGTTTTTTTGTGTTTCTAGGGTTATTTTTGGTCATATTCTTCTGAGATTTCAAGTGTTGAAATAGTCTTAAGCTATAAAGACTATCATGGCATAATAACAATCCGCTTAGAAAACGGGTTGAATTCTCTGGTGGAGAACACACTAGCCCGCTACTATTCGAGCGCCCCTTCCCCTCATGCTCCGGTGGAGGCGCGTGGAGACAAATCCTTCTCTCCCAACAACACGGGGAAAGTGTACTGTTCTTGCACGTACTGGTACACGAGCCTGGTGGACCCCGCTGATCTACATTAATGATGTTCTTTTGTCACGGTCTTGCAGCCGCAGCGCTTTGGCTTGCCTGTAAAGCTGTGCGCACGCATCTGATGCGTGGCTTCACTCGAACCGCTTTTCGATAGACGTTTCTAACTTAACCACGAACATACTTTTCTTAAGCTGAACGATGTTCCTCCAAGAGCACGGTCGTCTCGTATTTGCGTACGACGCAGAACGGCTATGGATCGAACCGTGGGGCCAAAACTCTCTCCGTGTTCGTGCGACCAAAGCCAGTAGCATGCCTACCGAAAACTGGGCGCTGCTTCAAGCCAAGCCCACAAAATCGGATGTTAACATCACAGATGAATGCGCTACCCTGGTGAACG